CCTTTACATGTATAGACCTTACCTTTACATGTATAGACCTTACCTTTACATGTATAACCTTACCTTTACATGTACAACCTTATCTTTACATGTATAGATCTTACCTTTACATTGATAACCTTACCTTTACATGTATAACCTTACCTTTACATAGACCTTACCTTTACATGTATAACCTTACCTTTACATGTATAACCTTACCTTTACATATGTAGACCTTACCTTTACATGTATAACCTTACCTTTACATGTATAGACCTTACCTTTACATGTATAACCTTACCTTTACATAGACCTTACCTTTACATGTATAACCTTACCTTTACATGTATAGACCTTACCTTTACATGTATAACCTTAACTTTACATGTATAACCTTACCTTTACATGTATAACCTTACGTTTATATATATATAGACCTTACCTTTATATGTATAACCTTACCTTTACATGTATAGACCTTACCTTTATATATGTAGACCTTACCTTTACATGTATAACCTTACCTTTACATATATAGACCTTACCTTTACCTTACCTTTACATGTATAGACCTTACCTTTACATGTATAACCTTACCTTTACATATGTAGACCTTACCTTTACATGTATAACCTTACCTTTACATGTATAACCTTACCTTTACATGAATAGACCTTACCTTTACATAGACCTTACCTTTACATGTATAACCTTACCTTTACATATGTAGACCTTACCTTTACATGTATAACCTTACCTTTACATGTATGACCGTACCTTTACATGTATAACCTTACCTTTACATGTATAGACCTTACCTTTACATGTATAACCTTACCTTTACATAGACCTTACCTTTACATGTATAACCTTTACATGTATAACCTTACCTTTACATATGTAGACCTTATCTTTACATGTATAGACCTTACCTTTACATGTATAACCTTACCTTTACATGTATAACCTTACCTTTACATGTATAGACCTTACCTTTACATGTATAACCTTACCTTTACATGTATAGACCTTACCTTTACATAGACCTTACCTTTACATGTATAACCTTACCTTCACATGTATAGACCTTACCTTTACATGTATAGACCTTACCTTTACATGTATAGACCTTACCTTTACATATATAGACCTTACCTTTACATGTATAACCTTACCTTTATATATATAGACCTTACCTTTATATGTATAACCTTACCTTTACATGTATAGACCTTACCTTTACATAGACCTTACCTTTACATGTATAACCTTACCTTTACATAGACCTTACCTTTACATGTATAACCTTACCTTTACATAGACCTTACCTTTACATGTATAACCTTACCTTTACATGTATAACCTTACCTTTACATGTATAACCTTACCTTTACATGTATAACCTTACCTTTACATGTATAACCTTACCTTTACATATATAGACCTTACCTTTACATATATAGAACTTACCTTTACATGTATAACCTTACCTTTACATGTATAACCTTACCTTTACATGTATAACCTTACCTTTACATGTATAACCTTACCTTTACATGTATAACCTTACCTTTACATGTATAACCTTACCTTTACATGTATAACCTTACCTTTACATGTATAACCTTACCTTTACATGTATAACCTTACCTTTACATAGACCTTACCTTTACATAGACCTTACCTTTACATGTATAACCTTACCTTTACATGTATAACCTTACCTTTACATAGACCTTACCTTTACATGTATAACCTTACCTTTACATGTATAACCTTACCTTTACATGTATAACCTTACCTTGATCACACTTTGCTTTTCCCCACACATCTTACAGCTCCACTTTTTGGCTTTCTTCACCTGATGTACTTGGAATGTTGAACATTGGTAACAACGAAGCACCTGAAACTCTTGTGGCATAGCTGGTTCCTCTAGAAAACATTTTTAAAAAGTCTTTCACCCATAGATGTGAAAAGATAACCTATAATTCAAGATTCTATATTTGTCTTGTTCACAGTTCATTTATTTAGAGCCCTTCATATTCATTTCCTTACCATAACGATGTATAATGATGAGACTTCAAAAAATTAAGAAATAAATGGCTTGCCTCAATTTTTTAATTTTTCTTCTTATACAAAAGAAATATCAGGTATACACATAACTTTATGAGATTAGATGGTTTGAAAGATACATGTCTGTTCTGAAATGGCAGATCTAAACTCATTTACAGTGATAGCAGTAACAATTTGTGTCTGTAAGGCATGCCATTGAATGGAATTGCTGTATGTGGGAAGAAAGCCTTTTGTTGTCTGGATGTCTGTAAGAATAGGGTTTTCACCAGAGCAAGAGCATGTTGGGGAGTGCATGAGAAAATTTGATGGTACGGCCAATACAGGGTTTTCCATAATTTTGTTAGTAGTAGGCTGTGTAGCGAAAGTAGGAGGCTGGCCTGCCGTGTATGTGTAGTCGTGTACGGAACATTATTACGGAACTGGATTGGTGTAGGCGGCCAAATGATCAAAGTAGCCAGTCAAATTGGCCGGCGGCCGGCTCTTATGGAAAACCCTGCCAATACATTTTGTATTTGGTGAACAATTCTGCAATTTAAATACCTGGTAAATACAGATGTCCATTATCACATATTGTTTGAAATTAACAGTTTTTGAAATTCTTATCGTAACCCGATTTTAATCATTGACAGTTTCTTAGAAAAGCATCCGTCTAAAATAAGTTCTACAAACGCGATGGGTTTCTCACTGTAGGAATTCTATCATATCTAATACTGATCAGCTGGTATTATGATATCTATTGCAGACATATCGAGAAGCTCTTCTCTAGACTTTCTCTATCTGATGGATTTTACTTTTTCATGTCAATGAAGGATATAATTGTGTTGAATTCGTAATGTAGATAAGAAAAAGAAACAGTGACAGAGTTTGAAGTTTCCATATCTAAAACTACCAGGTTGTTTAACAGCTTAATAGAAAAGAGGTTCAGAAGAGTGATATAGTGATTGGTAAGCATGATGGAATCCATGCAAAACCCTAACCCCTCCACCCACCCACCCAACACACTTTTAAATAAAAAATTGTCATAACGTTACTGTTACAATGCATACGTGTATGTTGTATGTTCCATTAGTTTGCAAACACATACTAGTAGAGAAAATGGCTATAATATGAAGTCGTGGAGGTGCTGAAGAACCGGGAAATGATTGTCATGATTTTTTTTCATGACGGGACTTGCATACATGTAGACTATTAAGGTAACAATCTGATGTCATTTTTCTAGCCTTCGCCTCGCGCTCCGCCTGACCACGAGTACCTGTATCTGAAACTTAAATAACCAGAAGAAAAAAACCCAGTTCAACATGCACCATATGAGTGCTTCATTCGTTAGCGCTAAACAACATACACATAATGTAAGGCACTCGTACGCCATTGTCATAACAATATATGACAATATCATATAAACACGTTTTTACAATATTACCTATAACTGGCGAAGTTCATGAGGTTCTACTTTCACTTTGGGTCTCCCGCCAAAAGTCAGGGAGAATCCATTTGACAATACAAATCTTCGCTTTAATATATTGCATTAATCTTACCACTGTTTGGTACAATCATGCCAACAGAATAACATACCTAAAGAATTTTTAGTCTACATATTTTTTTCTGCTAAAATTGAAAGTCCTATTGATATACTCTGGAAATAGAAACTGATACCTCATTCATAGTAAATGACCTCGTTTTCAACCAGGAAGTTGCACTATAAATAATCGATCATGGTTCTTCGAAATCGCAATACACAAATGATGTTCCGCTTACTGTGAAGGAATGGTGAAGTTCCTTATTCGACTAGGTAAGACGATGATAAGGACACAATAACACGGACATTTGTCATAACAATAGTATCGTCTGCTTTTGAAGTGCGAGTTGATAGTATTTCAAAAGGATGTAAATAGTGTTTTGAAATTGTAATTGCGTCAATGTAGATCTGGTATGCCATATCGCGGAGAGAACGTCTTTGTCCCTCCCTCTCTCTAACAGATAAAGTATATACTGTACGGATAAATCTTATTTTTATTGATTTTAACGAGTTTTACGTCCACTATTACGATCTTTCGGTCTTTCAGCGGACGACACACGGATAAATCAGTCGAAGTATGTATTTATAGGAAGACTATAATGATAGAGTGATACATACAAGTGTAAATAACACAGTATTCGGCTCTGTATTGTTGCCTCGCCTCAATTATATACACATGAAGTACCAGTCACAGGTACTAAACTTGTCAGTCAGAACACTCATTCGATATAATCAAGAGTGCATTAATAGACGAGGCTGGTACATATGGTACGAGCTTTATACTGCACAAGCACTTGACATAGAGTATAAATATATTTAAATAATTTAGTGATTATAAAAAAAACATTTCAAAAACTGTACAAAATTATCGCAAGAGTGTGATGCGCTTTCTCTATTAGATGCATGTAAATAGATATCTCTACATTTTATTGTAACTTAATTCGGGGATACATGTGCATCCATTTTGAATCTGGTATAAAAAGTGCCAAGTTACAATAATATTACAATATCACTTGATGATGTTTGCTGGACCATGCAGAACAAGGAAATGAATTATTTTGTACATTGTAGAAAGAAGCATTAGTAAAATCCAGTTTTATGAATGCTATAAACATATCTAATTTGATGTAATAAAGTTTAGATCTAATTTGATGTAATAAAGTTTAGCAGAAAATCACTTTTTGGTATGTTAGAATATTTATATCAATTTGCACATCCTTGATAAATGTGATGTTAACAACATACAGAAACTGTAATTAGAGTAATAATATTTTTGTGCAAAACTGTCAGCGCAAAACATGCTAAAATCAGATTACAGCTTAGATAGGTATCAGTACAATACATGACTTTTAACACTAGGATTGTATAAACAGAAGCAAAAATATTTATTTCAATTTTCAGGCGTTAGATGCAAACAAGAACCTAATTCATGGAGGGAAATCTCAGACGAGGAAGACCAACAGTGTGTATCAGTGAAGCATTTGATTTTCTTAATGATCCCGAGTATGGGGGCAAAAGTGTAAAAGATGGAGATCCCTTGGATCATCGACTGAAAAAGTCTGTCAGTGATACTGGAATAATAACTGGAAAACATGCTAATGACTTCAAACACACACCGCTACTAGAGAAAAATACTTACACTATCCTCACATTTGTACAAGGTGATCAGGCAAATGGGAAAACTACATTGACAAATAGTTTTGAAGACCAGACACTGCCTATTGAATCTGAATCAGATGAGAAAAATTTAAACCAATTCACTATTGTAACTTGTGTTGATAAGTCTGGAGATGAACATGTGGAAAGAAATATAAGCAAAGCGAGCACTCAGGTAGGGGAGACAACCCATTCTCATACAGCAGAGACCACTAGTCCTCAGGAGAGGGAAACAATCCATTCTTATGAAAAAGAACAAAATTCAAGGGAATTTAATTCGAACAATGGGAAAAGCACAAATCAAAATGGAGGCATCTTAGAAAATGGCGCACAAGCTGTTTATCCGTCGCAGTCTGCCAGTTCTGTTTCTCAAACTCATTCACTGATACAGAATGGAGTTGCTAAAAGTGTTATAAACATTAACCATAGTCCTAAATCAGAGTTTAATGAAAAAAATCTTGTGACTGAAGGTGACAAACCAGCCAAGAAAGGGAATGATGAAACTACTAGTGTTATAGGATCAGAGCAAGGTTACAGTCAATTGAAGACCGACCTGGTATCTCAAACAGAAACGGATGACCAGGAAGTTGGCTCACATGTCTGTATTGACAATCATTCATCTGACATCATCCCCACAGAGCCCAGTAAAGACCAAGACACCAGTGACCATGACGATGAGAAGGTTGTGCGTCGACCTCCATCATTAACTGGTCCTGTAACAGCCTCTAGACGAACCCATCAGATTGTCAGTGATGCTTTTCATTTCTTGAAAGACATTGACAATGATAGTGAAGATGACTTAAAGGATCTTGGTGAAGTATTTCAATCAACATCTGGTGACATTCTTGGGTCAGAACCAAAATTTTCAGAAAATAAGGAAGGAGTTCGTAGCACAACACATAAAAAATCACTCAAAAAGATACCACCAGTTCCAGCTCCCAAACCCAAACGCTCAAGTTCTAGTGATCAGCGTGAATCATCCTGTTCAAACCAACAAACTGATCCGTTAAGCCCTTCCAGAAAGGCAGGTCCCAAAAGTCCACCACCCGTGGCCCCAAAACCAAGACGATCTACCCCTAGCCTGGTCTCACCTACTACTCCCACTCAGGAGAATTTCATCAAGGAACAAGATGTCATGAACCCAAGCATAAACGAAATCCCAATAAACCCTGTTCCTGTTGTTGGTGAATGTCTTGCTGCTCATGACCAGACCCGTTGCTCAAATCTAAACCTTTCAAGCTCAAAACCTGACTCCAATATGGAGAATGTGAGTTTCGATTCAACAACAACCAAAGACAACATATCCTTGACCCTTGACCCTACTGTTGGAAATGACTCTGTGAACTCTGACCCCATTGTTGAAGATGGAGGTCTGGTTATCAATGAAACAGATCCAGTTGATGCCAGCATTACTGCAGTGTCATTAAGTCCTGTGAAGATGAGACCAAGTCTAAGTCGAAGTGAGGCAATAGACAACTCACAGGCTACCACTGGCGAGGAGGAACTGGGACAAAATCTGACTCTCAGACGCAAAAAAAGTCGAACAAGGTCTACAACAAATGATGAGGACAGTGCTGATTCCTCGGATGATGATACAGGTAAATGTTGTTATCCTGTGTGTTTCATACAAATTTACTGTATAGTACTTAATTTGAAATAGCTTATCTTTTGCAGTAGAATAGTTTTAGGTAAAGAGTTGTTTTAGAGGAATAATTTTGCATAACAAATTTTGCTAAATGTACATATTTACAGATGTAAATATTTCAATGTTGTGGTCGATTACTGTAGCTCTGACTATGTTTGATCCTGATTTTCTATGATTAATCATGATTTTCTGTCATTGATCTTTGTTTTCTGTTATTGATTATGAAATTTTAGCTCACCTGGTCTGAAGGAATGATTACAGTTTGCCAAAAAATATTTGGAAGGGAAATCAATTTTGTATAAATGGTAAATCTCCGATCCTAGAGTGAGAGGGACAGGGCCCAAAAGGGGAAATGCTTTAAAATCATTCTTATTAAGTAGAAATGCCTGAATTTAGTCACAATTTGGTCTGAGACGTGCTTGGATTTTGATTCACATACATTGTACCATAAAAACTTGTTTGAGATTTACAACAGACTTGCAAAATTAGTAATTGACCAATGGAAGTAAGTTTGGTGTTTGCCTCTTTGGTGCTGTAGTATCTGTCTCTTTGGTGCTGTGGTAACTGTCTCTTTGGTGCTGTGGTATCTGTCTCTTTGGTGCTTTTGTATCTGTCTCTTTGGTGCTGTGGTATCTGTCTCTTTGGTGCTGTATATTTTGTTGTCAGGTTGGTCAGATAATTTGTTGTATGTTCAGCGATAAAAGACTGGTAAAGTATTTTATTCTACCTCTATATATACTTTACATAGGAATCTACAACGAGAGTTATCGTAATTCATGCTGGATACAGATTGCTGAGGAAGGAGATTCCTTGCGGTCGGAATCTCCAGCCTTACCATCGTCCAAGCCATTGGATCAGACTATTTCTCAAGTTTTGGAGGAAACTGGCTCATCAGCAGAGGAGGAGACAGGTCCTGTTACTAATAACAATACCAATCCTGTTCATCAGGAGAGCAAAGGTAAGAGCCCTAATACTTGCTTCTCACCAGAGGTGAGACAGGTCATCTGACCCAATACTAGAGGTGAGACAGGTCATCTGACCCAATAGTAGAGGTTAGACAGGTCATCTTACCCAATACCAGAGGGTGAAACAGGTCATCTGACCCAATACTAGAGGGTGAGACAAGTCATCTGACCCAATACTAGAGGGTGAGACAGGTCATCTTACCCAATACCAGAGGGTGAGACAGGTCATCTGACCCAATACTAGAGGGTGAGACAGGTCATCTTACCCAATACCAGAGGGTGAGACAGGTCATCTTACCCAATACCAGAGGGTGAGACAGGTCATCTGACCCAATACCAGAGGGTGAGACAGGTCATCTTACCCAATACCAGAGGGTGAGACAGGTCATCTGACCCAATACCAGAGGGTGAGACAGGTCATCTTACCCAATACCAGAGAGTGAGACAGGTCATCTGACCCAATACCAGAGGGTGAGACAGGTCCTCTAGCCCTCAGATGAGGGGAGAAGGGGAGGGGACAAGTCCTCTGGCCCTCATGCCGGGGCAAAGGGGGGACAGGTCCTCTGACCTCACACCAGATAGTGTGACAGGTCCTCTGGCCCACATGCCGGGGGGAGGGAGGGGAACAGGTCCTCTGGCCCTCAAATGAGGGGAGAATGGGAGAGGACTGTTCCTCTGGCCCTCATGCCAGGGGGAGTAAGGGGGACAGGTCGTCTGGCCCTCATGCCAAGGGGAGTGGGGGGATAGGTCCACTGGCCCCACCACAGATAGTGAGACAGGTCCTCTGGCTCTCATGCTGTGGAGAAGGGGAGGGGACAGTTCCTCTGGCCCTCATGCGGGTAGAAGGGGGGCTCCACACTAGAGGGTAGGACAGGTCCTATGGCCCTACATCAGTGGATGAAACAGGTTCTCTGGCCCCACACAATTGTAGGGCAGATCAATTGGAGAGTGAGACTTAGTATGAATCAGAGGATTAGGCAGGTCCTTTGGCCCCTACACTGGAGGATGAGACAGGTCCTTTGGCCCCTACACTGGAGGATGAGACAGGTCCTTTGGCCCCTACACTGGAGGATGAGACAGGTCCTTTGGCCCCTACACTGGAGGGCAAGGTGGGTCCTGTGGCCCTGAGGATAATATACAAACTGTAAGTGCTATAATTCCACACCGCAGAGTGAGGCAGGTCTCTGACTCGACAGGGAGGGTGAGACAGGTCCTCTGGCCACACACTGGAGAGTGAGACAGGTCCCCTGGCCACACACTGGAATTTGGCTCTTGTTTTTTCCTCTCTATCTCTCTGCAAGAAATATATTTTTCTTCTTTGGATCACCTGTGAAATACAAAATATATGTTTTATTTGATGAGGAAATTAAACATACATAATCCAAAAATGAATCATGAAAGTTTTCAATTATCTATTAGATGAAGTGTTCGTGGACGGAATTTCCTACAAGGAAGGTCGGTATCACAAGCGTTCGGATTCCACCACCACGACTCGCTCAGAGAGTGAGTTTAAACGAGAGTACCAATTCAGAAGGAAATGTTTTGTACAGCGTAGTGACAGTCAACAGGAGTATCACCGACTTTCAGCTAAGTTCTATGGTAGGTATCTTTTGCATTCACTACAACTATAAATCACACCTTATCGTATTCCTTCTAATGATAAAACTTGCTTCTCCTATAAAAACATTCCAACCATGGAAAGAGGTTACACTTAAACAAACCCAGGAAAAGATTGTTAGTCACTGTGCTCTGCCAAAATAATATGTAACCATTCATTTCTACCTGTCCCATATATCCAGGCATTAATATGACTGAAATTTTCAAAAAAAAAAATTTTTTCAAAGAGGATGGGGGAAAAAATTCAAATTTTGTTCTCTGCAATAAAGTTTCATGTCTCAACACAATTCATATGGAGACCTTTCTTAAAGTTATATTAAACAAAGCCTTTTTTGATATTGTAAGTATGTAATGGGCTTTTTAGTTCAAATATAGTACATTTATTGTACATATATGACTATTTATATTCTGTTACAGTGGAACCTACTTAATGTCACATCTGTTAATGTCACTTTCTGGTTAATATCACATTTTCTTGAAACACCATTTTTTCCCCTATATAGACTAAGTACTTTGCAATCATTCCATCAGCCTTTTTATCCTGAAGTTTAAGTAAACATGTGATGTACTATCACTTCACAGATCATGAGAGGCTATTGGTAATCAACAGGACAGAGGCGACCTCTGACCTCGGACTTCACATTCTGGACAGTCACCCAGCTATTATAACCTCCGTCGATCCAGGTACCATTTCAATGTCCAATCCTGACCTTTCTGACCTTTGACCTTTGAGTCGAACTCAGCCTCTTAGATAATCATTTGTATAAATTTATCTGAACAACTTATTTTCTATTTTAATAATGCAATTCAAGAACTGGGGACATATTGTAGCAGATAATTGTTATCACAGCTGTAAAATCTCCCATAAAACTCTACTCGTGATACATACAGTAAGTAATATATCTTGTTTATTTATGTATATTTGTTGATTTTTTTTTAAATTTCCCTTATCATTTTTCCTTGAAATAATACAATGAATTGAGATTTAGAATATCCTAGAAAAGATTCTTGTATCAGAAGGAATGACTTCATTTTATGTTTTGGATTGTCATTACAGGGAGTCCGGCGGAGAAAGCTGGGGTCAAGAAAGGTCAAATTATTATAAGTATCAATCAGGTGAATGTGTTACAATCCAGTCATGCTGAGATTGTCTCCCTTGTTCAAGATGGTAAGTATGCGTCTCAGGTCAGATACCTAGAAATGTTATTATGACGATCTATGCTTGATATCATATGAAATTATTTGGCTTTTTAGGTCATCTCACCCAAAGGGTCATATTGACCTACAGCCATTGTGCTTCATCATTCACCGTCCATTGTCCACCATGGGCCATGCGTAATATTTTGATATTTTTAACTTCTTCTCTAGTTCCCCCAGTAGGATTGAGCTCAAACTTGTATGAAATGATCCTGAGATGGTCCTGACCAAGTGCTGTTATTTTTCGAGTATGTCTGAAATCCAAGATGGCCACCATCTTGAAAAACATATTTTAAACTTCTTCTCCACTTCCACCAGTGCTACTGAGCTAAGAATTGGTAGGAATGTTAAGGAAAGGTAGCACATGATTGCACAATCATGGATTTCCTGTGCAACACCTATTTCTAACTTCTTCTCAAGTTTCACCAGTAGGATTGAACTCCAACTTTACTGTCTGAAAATAGGTAACACTTGCTACAGTTTCCTACTCCTCACCAGAACTAACATCTGCATCATGGAAAACAGCTTCTTAATAAGATTTCATTCACAACAGAAAAAAAACCCTTCTCCCTGCTGAAAGTTTTTGAGATCAGATGACTGTTAAGGCCCATTGACCTTTTCTTTTGTTTTTGGTTGGGTTTTTTTTGCACATGTTATAGAATAGACAGTAATTTTCCTACCATTTTTTTTTAACATCTATTTTTTGGAATTTTAGTCTGTCCTTGATGGTCATAGTGAGGACTGAAACCTGTTGAAAATAACAAATTTCACAGCATATCTGTAAATAAATGATACAAATAAGTTGACTTGTTGCATGAAATTGTAATATTTTCTGATTTCAACTTATTTTTATGATAATTGTATGCGCATTTTGTAGGTTCTCTCCAAATATCATTGGAAGTTGCCTCAAGTGATGTAAGTTTGGTACGAGACCTTCAGTCTCCAAAAGTGTCCGGCTTCATGCACAAACTTAGCAATTCATCATTTGTACGAAACTGGAAGAAGCGGTTCTTTGTGCTCAGGAAAGACAACTGCCTTTATTACTACAAGAATGATCAGGTGAGTGGTCACCAAAGTTGTCTCCCCTGATAGGCTAGTCTAAGATAACTTCATCAGTTAACATCCATAATTGATTATTACCGACAAAGGACGAAGCATTCTGTGAATACAGCATTGTCATATTTTATTTAAAATATATGTACCAGTTAATATATGTTGAATTATTATAAAGTAAGATTCTTGCAGATTTGGTTGTGTCACCTGGCAAACATATTTTATTAACAGTATTTCAAGAATATCATAAAAAATTTTTTAATTTCTGCGATATTCGCAAATCATTGTGACCTTGGTGATTTAAAGGATATATTGATGAATTTTATCACACTACTTTGAATTCATGTTACCAGAGATCATGAAATGAGAAATACTTAAGACTTGTTTTATAAATCTTGATGAAAATGTAAAATAATACATATGTAATAGGTAAAATGTTTTATGTCATAGGACTGTTCAGACCCACTAGGGGCTCTTCCGCTTCTCAACTACACTGTGTCAAAACACACAGACACCAGCAAGTCACACTGTTTCAAGGCCGAGAAGTACGGCGCCAAGACTTACTATTTCTACGTGGACACGCGTGAGGAAATGGCCAGGTGCTGTGAACTTTTGGTTCAGGGATTTTTAACATGTTATTATCACATTTATCCTCAGATAAGCCCAGGGATGGGGATGAGGGAGGGGTGATTTTTAACATGTTATTATCACATTTATCCTCAGATAAGCCCAGGGGTGGGGATGAGGGAGGGGGGATTTTTAACATGTTCATTATCACATTTATCCTCAGATAAGCCCAGGGGTGGGGATGAGGGAGGGGGGATTTTTAACATGTTAATTATCACATTTATCCTCAGATAAGCCCAGGGGTGGGGATGAGGGAGGGGTGATTTTTAACATGTTCATTATCACATTTATCCTCAGATAAGCCCAGGGGTGGGGATGAGGGAGGGGGGATTTTTAACATGTTCATTATCACATTTATCCTCAGATAAGCCCAGGGGTGGGGATGAGGGAGGGGGGATTTTTAACATGTTCATTATCACATTTATCCTCAGATAAGCCCAGGGGTGGGGATGAGTTCATTATCACATTTATCCTCAGGGAGGGGGGATTTTAACATGTTCATTATCACATTTATCCTCAGATAAGCCCAGGGGTGGGGATGAGGGAGGGTGATTTTTAACATGTTCATTATCACATTTATCCTCAGATAAGCCCAGGGGTGGGGATGAGGGAGGGGGGATTTTTAACATGTTCATTATCACATTTATCCTCAGATAAGCCCAGGGGTGGGGATGAGGGAGGGGGGATTTTTAACATGTAAATTATCACATTTATCCTCAGATAAGCCCAGGGGTGGGGATGAGGGAGGGGTGATTTTTAACATGTTCATTATCACATTTATCCTCAGATAAGCCCAGGGGTGGGGATGAGGGAGGGGGGATTTTTAACATGTTCATTATCACATTTATCCTCAGATAAGCCCAGGGGTGGGGATGAGGGAGGGGGGATTTTTAACATGTTCATTATCACATTTATCCTCAGATAAGCCCAGGGGTGGGGATGAGGGAGGGGGGATTTTTAACATGTTCATTATCACACTTATCCTCAGATAAGCCCAGGGGTGGGGATGAGGGAGGGGGGATTTTTAACATGTTCATTATCACACTTATCCTCAGATAAGCCCAGGGGTGGGGATGAGGGAGGGGTGATTTTTAACATGTTGATTATCACACTTATCCTCAGATAAGCCCAGGGGTGGGGATGAGGGAGGGGGGATTTTTAACATGTTAATTATCACACTTATCCTCAGATAAGCCCAGGGGTGGGGATGAGGGAGGGGGGATTTTTAACATGTTCATTATCACATTTATCCTCAGATAAGCCCAGGGGTGGGGATGAGGGAGGGGGGATTTTTAACATGTTCATTATCACATTTATCCTCAGATAAGCCCAGGGGTGGGGATGAGGGAGGGGGGATTTTTAACATGTTCATTATCACATTTATCCTCAGATAAGCCCAGGGGTGGGGATGAGGGAGGGGGGATTTTTAACATGTTCATTATCACATTTATCCTCAGATAAGCCCAGGGGTGGGGATGAGGGAGGGGGATTTTTAACATGTTCATTATCACATTTATCCTCAGATAAGCCCAGGGGTGGGGATGAGGGAGGGGGGATTTTTAACATGTTAATTATCACATTTATCCTCAGATAAGCCCAGGGGTGGGGATGAGGGAGGGGGGATTTTTAACATGTTCATTATCACATTTATCCTCAGATAAGCCCAGGGGTGGGGATGAGGGAGGGGTGATTTTTAATATGTTCATTATCACATTTATCCTCAGATAAGCCCAGGGGTGGGGATGAGGGAGGGGTGATTTTTAACATGTTAATTATTACATTTATCCTCAGATAAGCCCAGGGGTGGGGATGAGGGAGGGGTGATTTTTAACATGTTCATTATCACATTTATCCTCAGATAAGCCCAGGGGTGGGGATGAGGGAGGGGTGATTTTTAACATGTTCATTATCACATTTATCCTCAGATAAGCCCAGGGGTGGGGATGAGGGAGGGGGGATTAATAACATGGTAATTGTTAATTACTAAGCCAAAGGGAGGTTAAACATGAATGAGATGTGGGCTTATTACAGGACAATGACATTGCATTTGTTCGTATTTCCACTGAAGTTCTGTAAGATAAAGGTGGGCTTATCATCATGATGTGATTAATTATTATTATTATTTGTCTGCTTACTTTACAAAGCATTTTTTGTCTTATCAATGTATACACCTATTGTAGATACTTTAACTTCCGTTAGACTTCAATTCTATATTTAGAAGTGTGGTCATGTGATTTCTATATTTAGAATTGATATCATGTGATACTTGTGTTTGACAGATGGGTGTGTGCAATGAATGAGGCAGCCATGGTATCAAAAAAGAGGGTACGTAGATCAAGATAGTCTTTGAAAAGCCAAATATCATATTTATAATTTTATTTTCTCTTACACAAGATGGGGAAAGCTCACACGCTACCAGTAATAGTCTTAAGATTTTTTGTTATTTCAGCTTCTGGTACCTTTATGCAATATTTTTTACTCTGGTTTTAATAGTAGCTAATGGAGTTAATAGAATCAAATCAAATAATTTGAAAATGCAGCTACGTTTTAGTGGAGAGAGGTTTGTTTAATTTTGACACAATAATTTATTAGGAAAATAATCTGTAATTTGTATGTGTTTGAGATTTACCTTGATCAAAGCCTGAAAGATAAAGGATGTACCCCTCCAATTACTTTAACAATCATCCATATTGAAGATTCTTTAATAGTTTTCCTACCAGGGTACATGTCTTGATGTTACTTTGGTCACCTGTTGCACTTTGTAAAATATTTCCGTCATCTTTATGGGAACAAGTTTCTATATATTAAAATCTGTGATGGACCTATATTGCAAATTGCTGTGTGATGAAAAGTTCCAGTGTTAAATTTCCTAATAGCGTTATTTTTATTTCTATTCAACATGCACAGAAGGAATCCTGGATGGATATAACAAGTCACAATGTTGGGTTACCTGCTCTCGAAATACGTCGCGCAGAGTGCACTGGATACCTTCGCAAGAGTAACAAAGCCATGAAAAACTGGAACAAACGTTACTGTGTCCTTAAGGATGCCTGTCTTTATTACTACAAGTCCATGAACTCACAAAATGCTCAAGGTATGAAAGACAAGGTTCAATCTGAACTAAAACACACATTCGAACATGCACTAATAAAAATATTATTACATTTATTATTACATTCTTAACGGCCCGCCAACACATAAAAGGTCATTATGGCCATCAACCGTTAAAACATGCAGCGATCCAAACATGCACTAATACAATCAAGACTACAAGATACTTTGAAGAAATACACAATTTTTTACTTATGTTTGTGTTTGACTTAACTTGACAATAAAACCAGTAATGTCTGAAAATCAATCAAAATAACTTTACTTAATTCACAGAACACCCAAAGTAAATACCAGATTTAATAAAAGGTTACAATTCATATTGAACTCAACCACACATATAAACATATGCCATAAAATCTAGGTTACTAGTTACCGTGATTAAAGCTATTATTTTACCTAAGTATGTGTTTGAGTTAACTTGACTGTGAACTCAATAATTCTGTGTCTCTGAAAATCTATTAGAATACAGAATGTACTGGAAAATTGAAACAAATTACTCTTCAGATTTTTAATTTCGTTAGGCTAATATTTGCAGTCGTTCTGGTTTCATGGATAAGAAATTTTGGTCAAGTCAGTTATCTGGTGTCGATGTATAATCATATAACAGATATTTTACGAGATTTTCATTCACTGTTTGTGGGTTTGGTGGGTATCATGTTTAGCGCTGTCTTTATTGACAACGAATACGATGAAATTAAATCCCTGTGAATGTTATCAATTATACACTGTAATAGAAGTTTTAAGATACAACGTAGCAGAGATATGGGTGATATTTACACTTAGTGCTTGGTAAGATGGGATATGTATGGTGAATACTTTCAGGTCCATGCATCCATCCATTTATCAAACAATTTTTAACAGCTCTGTGGCAGGAGGAATGGAATCAATATACCAATAATAAATTGCACTGTTAGACCTTTCATCAATGAATGGTCTCCATGCTATAGAGACAACCACCGAGACAAAGTTGTACTTGTCTGTCTTCTGATGGGTCATACATACCTTACACATTCATATATGTTGAAAGAGAAAGATGAAAATCATCGGTGCATAGGATGTGTCAAGTCTAAAGACCTTTTATGAAACTGTTGAGATTCCTAAAATTCTAAGTTACCTGAAAGATGTTGGTCTATATCATAGACTCTAACGTATCATTTTAATCTTTTGTGATAATATAACCATTTAAGATTTGTAGCATTTGTCTTTTACCTTATAGTTTGTGTGATTTTATTTATTTTTTTGAATCGCTGTGTTTTTTACTGGTTGATGGCTCTGATGACCTTTTATGTGATGACGGGCCGTTAAGACAGTAATATTGATAATAATAATAATCTGCATGTGCATCTTATTTCAAGGTCAAAAAGTATAAGGTCACACATGAGTCTGTAAGCTTTCAAGGAGAACCTATACTCGTGTATATATTGAGTTTTGAAAATATAGATATTCAGGTGAAAACACTGATTTTAAGGGCCAACAAACGTACATCCTCGTCAGCGTAGAAGTTATTGGTTCATTCCTGTCGCTTTCATTTGAGTAAGAATTCATATCTCATTCCTCGATTGGATAGGTATGGCTCATCTCCATGGTTACCGAGTGGACATGACAGGGATACCGGTGAAACCTTTCAGCTTCATTCTCCAGCCACCAGAAACACAGATGAGGACATTTTATTTTATTGCTGAAAACGAAACTGACAAACAAAGGTAAAAACAATATTACTTCATTGTTAGGAATGAAACGAACAAACTGTGGTAAAATATTTCACTTTATCACTGAGAATGAAACCAGGAAACTAAGGTAAAAAGAAATTATTTCTGATTGAAATCAAAATTTACAAACTATGGTACAAATATTTTATCTAATGGCTGAGAGCAAAACTGAAGTTTAATTTTGGAACACCAAGCATGAATACTATATAACATAACAAAATTTTAATGTGAAATTGTCTTACAGATGGGTTGAAGCTCTGAGGAAATCAGTAGAACGATGGATCAAGGTGGATTAACATCAGGAAGCCATAGGGATTGATCCCAAGGAATTACCAGGATCAAGGTGGATTAACATCAGGAAGCCATAGGGATTGATCCCAAGGAATTACCAGGATCAATGTGGATTAACATCAGGAAGCCATAGGGATTGATCCCAAGGAATTACCAGGATCAAGGTGGATTAACATCAGGAAGCCATAGGGATTGATCCCAAGGAATTACCAGGATCAAGGTGGATTAACATCAGGAAGCCATAGGGATTGATCCCAAGGAATTACCAGGATCAAGGTGGATTGACATCAGGAAGCCATAGGGATTGATCCCAAGGAATTACCAGGATCAAGGTGGATTGACATCAGGAAGCCATAGGGATTGATCCCAAGGAATTACCAGGATCAAGGTGGATTGACATCAGGAAGCCATAGGGATTGATCCCAAGGAATTACCAGGATCAAGGTGGATTGACATCAGGAAGCCATAGGGATTGATCCCAAGGAATTACCAGGATCAAGGTGGATTGACATCAGGAAGCCATAGGGATTGATCCCAAGGAATTACCAGGATCAAGGTGGATTGACATCAGGAAGCCATAGGGATTGATCCCAAGGAATTACCAGGATCAAGATGGATTAACATCAGGAAGCCATAGGGATTGATCCCAAGGAATTACCAGGATCAAGGTGGATTGACATCAGGAAGCCATAGGGATTGATCCCAAGGAATTACCAGGATCAAGGTGGATTAACATCTAAAAGTCTGTCAGACATAAGACAACATAGATTGGGTCTAGACGGAGTAGTGTTGCAATATAGGTCTATCACAGACTGTCAGAAAATTTCAAAAACATTCCCAGACAAACAGGGCACACCTGTAACAATGTTCTTGTTTGATGTTACATACATCTCATTGGGTGTTAAACAGGTGTTATGAGTTTTAACTGTTAACAGTGAGAACTTTTTATCATATCAACGTTATTTATTTTACAACAATTTGTGAAATAAGTTACCCAATATAGACTAATCACTCTTGTTGACTTCTTCACATGTGATTCTCACTTCAACTATGCCATGAAAACGTTCCTTCAATATATTGCCAATATTCCTCTTTATACTGCCAAAATATTATTCACTATCTTGGAAGCAGCATCAGTTTGTGTTAGCATCATTACTCTGTTTGTTCTGATTGATGGTGATACTTTTATGATGATTTTCGTTATCATTACACAAGTTGTTGTACATTAATTACTGTTCTCTTGTGTTTTTGTAAATAATTTGAATTCAAATCATTCCATTTATAAATATGTATCAATATTTTTTTTTTTTTTTTGTAAAAATTACTATGTACACACTATTCTGTTCATTTTGTTAAAATGTTTATGAAATGCAGGGCAGTTTTTATACGCCCGTCAAAAGATGGACGTATTATGGTATGGCGCTGTCCGTCCATCCGGCGTCCGGCGTGAACTTTTATTTGTCCGGAGATCTCCTCCAACATTTTTCAGCCGATCTTTATGAAACTTGGTAGGCTTAAGCACCATGATATGAAGTTGTGTTTTCCTGAACAGGGGGTTGATTAGATGATTTGAATAAGAGTTATGCCCCTTTGCTGTTTTGGATATTCACGGGCGTATTTTGTTCCTTGAGGTACTCTTGTTAAGAGATGTGAGTTGATTGTTTAGGTGACAATTAGGACTCCAATAACATCTTTTCAAAAGATTTCTTTGAAAAATGAGAAAATCTTTAATTTACCAAGTAAGCATGTAGGGAGGTTCAATTTGCAATAAATTTGAAAATGGACATAGAAATGAGACAGAAGATGCCTTGTATAATTTGTTTAATGAACTCACCTTGTCACACAAGGTAGGTAGCATATATACCCAAACTAGTGTTTCAGGGGAGATAATCCTGTCAGCACAATACAACATAACATATATCCTTAACTGGCTGTGTTAGAAAAGAAAGTTGAGAGTGTGTTTTTTTGCAATAGTTGTATGAGTGTACAGCTTATGGAATAATTATCAGAGGGCAGATCAGTATTGTTTTGCATCTCAACTGATATTAAATGCAATATGTTTCATTTGAACTTGTAAATTACCTGAACGTGATAATCGTTTTTGTGCCATATTAAATGGAATGTAAATGTCCTATTGAATAGACAAATACCGCATCACTTAGATAATACAAAATACAGGGTTTGTGTAATAACATATCACCATGGTAGCACAGGGCGGTTATAAAAAATCTCATCACATAAAATTTGAAGTACATATTAAACATTTTCAACATGACTTTAAAACATGTACAGAATTAAAACAGATTTCCTTTCACCAACAATCAAATTATTTTAAATATTTGACAATCTTGAATGTTGCTTTCAACTTCTGGTGTCGTATAACACAACTATGTATACGCTGATGTATAATGGATGTCATATAGGTATCAATATCCATCTTGTGACGGAAATATAGATTTCTCCGGCTTGACATTTTGTACAGTTTTGTTAAACAGTTTTGTGGTCAGATTTTAGCCAATGGTGCAGAAAGAAATGCTTTGTGTACTGTATATATATCCCAGCATGTGATACATAGATTATGAACAGGAGTCTACCCGTCACACTTATTACAAGGTGATTATGACTCAATAGGAATGTGTGCCATGTTTATGTATTGTGCAAAATTTACATACCTGTATAAACAACACTTCTGATCTTATTATGTCAGATTTATGCCATATATACCTGCAGTTTAAATTTCACCCTGTAGCTCTGCCTTTCTATATGTATTCATACTTGATGTTTTGCAGAGTTAAGAGTGCTTAACTTTAATATGGCAAGACCTGTCTAAATAGAACACCACCTGGATAGGTTAAACATGCATTACATGTAGTTTACAAGATGTATAAAATAAACTGTGCATGAGATTTATTGGAAGATCTTATATCTATATCTATAAGCTTCTGTCCTAAATAGGTTGATTTCCTTACGTGATTTACATACAGTAATGCCATGTATAAATGATTTATATGAAATAATTATTTTTCATTTCACCCATTAGGCGAAATATTGTATTGTGTACAAAGTGTACGTTGTGTATTCAGCCAGTATAAACAGGTCATAAGTATATATATTTTATATCATTTTACATTGGAGGTTGGAATCTTTTTTTTTTATTATTTTGGTGATATAAACTGTATATACTGAAAAATTTCACAAGAAAATAATTTAGGAAAGGTTCAGAATATCCATAAGACATGTACTTGGCATAGTTCTTAAATTATCTTGTATGAAAGTTGTGAAAGTTATTTAATCATATGGCTACCACACGTCGCCATCTAGATGTTTACTTTTCTTTTGGTAGATTTCGATTTTCCTCCGTCTCTAGGATTCAAACATTTAGGCTGTTAGAATCATCAAAAAGTTCGGGAAGGAACAAAACAGCTGTATAATGCAGTTAGTTAATTGTTTGTCTATACTGTAGCCTTCTCTTAATTTGTATTTAAAGTTGCTTTTAGCTTGCATGTCTCTTTAGAACTATCTTACATACTTCCAGAAAGAAGTTCTTGTACATACATACCTTTTCTTCTGTATTTGTATAATGTGGGGATCGGAGGATGTGCACATTTCTGATAGATTTTACCTATAAGAAATATTTGTCTAAGTGAAAATTTCTCTGGTATACAATTTATATATAAACCTACCCACATAAGCAAGATCTCGAAATACAGGTATGTGATATTTTGCCGAGCTGTTTTGATACGAGCATTTTTTTTTTCAGATAAATTTGCTTGAAGTCCAAAGTTCTTGCTTCTGGTTGTGAAATCATATCCTGTATGTATTGTTATTGTATTGATGGAGGCCATCACTATACATGTGTATTTATTAATTATACTTAACTGATAATGCAAGTGTTTGGCTGATTTGTTGTGAATTTATATCTCTGTGAGGTGTATGACTGTCTGATTACAAAATTAGGGTGTTAAATTTCTCAATATATTGAGCTTCAGATATAAAAAAAGTTATTACAAGTCTTATGAAATAGAAATTATGATAAAATTTCTGTCACGATTTCATAAATATTGTTCTTGCAAAACCGTTTAGAATTAGAAGGTAGTGGTTTACACTACACTCTATAATATCATGAGTAATACATAATCACTGTGACTATAAAAAAAATTATAAGTACAATCACAGAAGACATTGATATGTCAAAAGTACTTACATACCGTATATCTGCAGGTAAGCTCCCTCCTTTATCCCTGTCCACACTAAACCTTTACACAAGGGAAGGAGGGCTTATTTGAGGAAAAATATGGCAATGACATTATTTACAACTCATTAATAGTTATTTTAGTCAGTATAACCTTAATATAAAGAGTTAGTCAGATTTATAAGGGGAAGGCAAAGCTGAAACACCTAAAAATTGTGACATGTCAACTCTCTATGTTTTAGTTGACTGACAGAAATTTACCATTTTTTATCAGATTTTTTTTTCATCTAATAACTTTCTCTTCATTTACCAGTAAAAGTGTGAACAGTTATGACAGTATGGTAAATATGCATAAAAAATACCCAGGAAGATTTTACGCAAGGATGGTGGAAATTTTACGTAAGTGTACACAATAAGCAGATATTTACGGTAGCTAAACTTCATTGGTAAGATATGAAAATACAGTAAGCAATATTAGACTCCTGGAATTATAAAAGCGACAATGACTTAACATTTTTTATGTAAACAGCAATATACATATATATGATAATATTGTAGAACATAAGTGCTAAAATTACCTGCCTGTTATACACAGATAATTGTGAGATTTATGCCTGTGTCAGAATGTATGTAAATGTTTATAAATTTTATGTTTGTAGGTATCAGTTCTGCCAGAGACTTATACATTTTATATATGTTATTGTTTCTTATACAATGTATGTAAATGTTTATAAATTTTATGTTTGTAGGTATCAGTTCTGCCAGAGACTTATACATTTTATTATATATATATACATTCCTTGTTCTACAAAC